GCGGTAAAAAGGGACGAATAGAATTAAGTGCTTTTTCTAAAACAAAACTTTATACAACATTTCTAGTCAATCAAAGATTAAACTATTGATTTTTGAATTCATTTTGATTAGCTTAAGATGAAGATTTCAATGCAATAGATCCATTTCGTTTGCATAAGACTTTGCCTTTGTCTTTTGTAGTTAAATACATCAAAACACACCCTTTCTTTGGCACTCAATTTCTCTTTTTACAATAATGAGATCTTGAACAGTTGTTTTGAATAGACTAGGCAATAAAATAGTAAACTGGTTTGGAAATTTACAAATGAACAGTAGAAGCTCTGCTTTATTTTACCCCACATTTTAAACAATAGCTAAACAATAGCTAAACAATAGCTAAATAATAGCTAAACAATAGCTAAATAATAGCTAAATAATAGCTAAACAATAGCTAAACAATAACCACCACTCTTGAATGCTCAATCCTCAATGATTCTATTGAAAAATAACAGTTAATGCTTAAATTTGTGTCTACTTTCTTGAATTCCCCTTATGTTTCATGCTTTTCAATTTCTTTTTCATTTCCCAAACATGGTAAACAGAGTAGATACACAAAAGGGGAAATGGAGGGGAAAACTGAAGAACAGACTGCCCTTCGGGGGAAAGGAAAGGGGAAAGGAATCGAATGGAAAAGGAATGGAAAAGGAATGGAAAAGGAAAAGAAAGACTAGAAGAGCTCCCGGGCAAATGTAAACTATTCGGGTGCGCAGCCGGTCGTTTTCTGAAGGGAAAAGAGGGGAATTTCTTTTAATGAGCATTCAATGGTTGGGTGTCAAAGTTGATCATTAAATTGCTTTGACTCATTTCGATTTTTGAATAAGCTTTGAAGTTGAATGGGAAATTGGATTCAGTTTTTGAAATTCAAATTCAAATTCAAATTGAATACACTTTTTCATCTAGAATCTAGAATTATCTAGAAAAAATGAGAAATTACAGATTTTTCTACCTAATCAATTGCAGATTTGCATCCAATTTCAGATCATTTACGATATTTCAAAATTCCTAATCAATTTCATAAGTTACTTTAATCAAATGGTTAACAGTTTCAAGTCAAAGCAAGTCAAAGCAAGCCTTTGCAAGCCAAAGCAAGTCAAAGCAAGCCTTTGCAAGCCTTTGCAAGCCTTTGCAAGCCTTTGCAAGCCAAAGCAAGCCAAAGCAAGCCAAAGCAAGCCTTTGCCAGTTCCATAGTCCATAAAATTCAATGATCTTAGATTTCTCTGAAGTATTTGACTAAGTTTACCCTAAAATCTTCAAATTTTCTTACTTGGCTACAGTTATTGAAAGCAAAATCAATGTTATTTTTGAAAATTTCACTTTTTCCTGTAGAAATAGGGTCGATATGTTGCCAAAGGCTGCACTGGAGCTTCACAAGGGCACACAGAGGGCTCAAATTACATTCAGCCCCACTGAGGCCGTTTGACTGTCCGCTAGAGGGAACAACGAGAACAAACGAGAAAAGATCTCCCTTTCTCTTTCTTTTTCTTCAACCCCTCACACGCTACAGGGAAATTGCATTAAGGGACAGGGTGAGCTGGAAACGAATACATCAAACACATCCAACAACCCGGGGACTGAGAATAAATCTTTATCAAAATGGTATAAGCTTGGCATCAGTTTATTAGTTTTGAAATTATTCATGAAAATTAGATATCTAGTTAACGGTTAACAGTTCTAGTTAACAGTTAACAGTTCTAGTTAACAGCTCTAGTTCTAGTTAACAACTCTAGTTCTAGTTAACAGCTCTAGTTCGAGCTAACAGTACTACTTAACAGTTAACAGTTCTAGTCAACAGTTCTAGTTACAGTTAACAGTTCTAGTTAACAGCTCTAGTTCTAGCTAACAGTTCTACTTAGCAGTTAACAGTTAACATCTAGCTAACACTTTCTAATTCTAACTTTAAAACAGAATTCAGAATGAAGCCTTTTAAAACAAACCCTAATTCCCCATTGATCTTCTTCTTCACACATCCTTCAACTTTATGCACTGTTGAGTGCTCGATATCAAGACATTGACGAATTTTGTTTGGATCGCCGACTTTCTTCAGTATGTTCAAGCATTGATCTCTGAAATTTGAGAATATAGATTTAAATGAATCTTTGATACAACTATCTATTTCTCGAAATGCTGATATGTTTCATTTTCTCGCGAAAAAACCATGACGAATCAAATTGGAAATGGAAAAGAGATGGTGAATACAACAAATTACCGATTTTTGGTTGGGGGAAAGATGAAAACAGATTTTGGATTCTTGTAGCACCAAACGTTTCTCATTTTTTGCTTTCTCTGAAGACAACCGTAAATACAATTGCAGCTAAATGAGGATGGGGGAAAAGAAAATTTTGGAAAAAAGAGGAATGTGTCTGTCGAAGAGAAAGACATAATTAGGTGTCTAGAGATGAAAGGGCCGATGAAAGCCATCCCTTTCAATCCAACAATCCATCATCGCCTACATCGAACATATTTTGGGTATAAACCCTATCAATGTCAGACTGAAGGGACCAACTAAAAAGGCTGGTTGAAGTCTGGTTGAAGGTTAATGTTTAGTTTTGTGTAAATGAATGAAAGGAATGTTGTTTTAGATTTTGATTATTGAAAAAGAAAGCTCATAACTTTAATTGCTTTGCTCTATTAGAGTAAATAAAGTCAAAATTCATAATATTTGATTCAGTTTGTGATTCGATTTCTCGTAAAGTAAGCATTTTTACATCTTTATATTTAAATTGTATTTAAAAGTAGTTAAAAGCTTTTCTAATTATATTCAAAGAATTTATTCTATTAATTTTAGCTATAGATATTCAAGAAGTTTGGTCTAATCATGGAATTTTTTGGAATTTGCTCATACTTTCTTTTTTTCTTTTAAGAAACTGATAATAAATTGATCTTTATCGACTAAAATAACCATTTTTACATCTTTATATTTAAATTGTATATAAAAGTAGTTAAAATCTTTTCTAGTATTCAAAGAATTGAAGTTATTCAGTTCATTTTAACTATAGATTTCAAGAAGTTTGGTCTAATCATGGAATCTTTTGAAATTTGCTCATACTTTCTTTCTTTCTTTCAAGAAACTGATAATAATGATCTATTTCTGATAATAAATAGATCTTTTCAACTAACTCTCTCTTGCAAGCTGCTTGTTTTGTGAAAAAGTCAGCCGAACAATCGTCGATATCCTTGCATCGACATTGTGGAGCTGTAGTGAATTGTCCACTTGCTGCCTCGTCAGCTAAGGTGTAAATCTAAAAGAATATTAAATAACTAAATAGAAAATACTAACAACTATTGGTAGAATGCAGATAAGGAATCGCATGATCGGAGTGAACGTTTGAGGCCCAATCGGCGGGGGATGATCGTCTCCACAACCATTATATACGGGAAAGACTGGTCACATCGAAGAGTCCACTCAAAGGATCGCTTGCCCATCCACCTCATCCATTCTTCTCCATTATTTACATTCAATCATTCTCTTTCCCTTTTCTTTCTTCTTTCCAAGTCTTCCGCAAACAGTTCAGACGTGTTATCGAGTGTTTTTCCGCTTTCTAGAAAGCGATCAATGGCATTTTTATTGATATTAGATTCTATATAATCATTAAAACTTGAGGATTAACACTTAAAATTCTAAATTTTAGAAATATCTTTAATTTTAAGCATTCCTTAATAGTAAATCCTTTTAAAACAAAAAACAAGAAACTCAAATTTTTCTAAATTCATCCAAATGATGAATGATAAACGAAAATCCGACAAAATTTCATTGCAAAGCTCATCAAGAATTGTTTTAGCGACTCATTTGTGCAATTCTTAACTTTAATACTCATCTCGTTTGTCACAATTGGTCTGAGAATTCGTGAAACTTGAAATTCTCAACGAAACTCAAATCTTTACGGTCAATCGCTATTCGGAAACAATATAAACGATAAAAATGGTAATGTTCACACTTTTATTAGTGCAGGAATTTTTCGAGGAGGATTGTGAGCACGTGAAACTTTTCTCAACGAAACTCAATTAAAAATCTTTTACTAAATCATTTTCTGACTTGAATTTCTTCTTATAGAATTTCTTCTTATAGAAGATTCTTATAAAAAAGTTAGAGTAAACGACTCTACAAATGTCAGAACTCGTTCACTACCAGTTGCCAGTTGAAAATTTCACTTTACAACTTTTACAGTTCCAAATTCCGTTACGAGTCTGGGAGCTTGGGAACTTTCCGAATTTACTCTATAACTCGACTCTCAGTGATCGGATCGACTTAGGGTTAGTTTTAAAAGAATCCCCGTTAAATTTGGTTATAGAAAAGTACAATTTATTTTGTATACTCATGTGTAAGAACATAGAGAAAAGTTGTGTCAAAGTTGAACTACCTGCCTGAAAAGTCGATTCACTTAAATGGTCTATAACTCGAGACATAGAAGTTGAATGAACTTTTGGTTGGTTTTATTAGAATCTCCATTAAATTTGACTAAAGAAAAGTAGAATTTGTTTGTATACTCATGTGTAAGAACATAGAGAAAAGTTGTGTCAAAGTTGAACTAATTACCTACAAAAGTTGATCAACTTGAACGGTCTATAACTCAAGATGTGGAAATTGCATTGCCTTGTAATTGCTTTTAAAAGAATCCTCATTAAATTTGACTAAAGAAAAGTAGAATTTGTTTTGTATGCTCATGTATAAGAACATAGAGAAAAGTTGTGTCAAAGTTGAACTTCCAGATAGGCGTCTTGGAGTTCGGAGACCCTTCCAAATTCCATCCAATTCCGTGGTGAGTCTCGGAGTTTGGGGACCCTTCTATTTTACTCTATAACTCGATTTTCAATTGTCAGATCGACTTGGGATTGATTTTAAAATGATCCTTATGAAATTTGGTTATAGAAAAGTCCAAATTCCGTTCGTTATTTACCCAACTTTCCTACGTGCATTGTCATAAATCATCGATTTCACCGATTCCAGTTCTCTTTGTTGTTTGATGATGTCCAGTCTGGTCATTGATCATCGCACTCTTGACTGTGGAGTGACGAAGAGACAACAAAAAACCACTTCAAGGGAAACGTTGATGTTTTTGACGGAATTGAAGAAACTTTTGAAAGAATTTATATGTAAGAATTTGCTTTCTGGAATGTATAGAGAATTTAATCGAGGTAATTCGGGGTGCTTTTGCTGATGAAGCTGATGAAGCTGATGAAGCTGATGAAGCTGATGAAGCTGATGAAGCTGATGAAGCTGATGAAGCTGATGAAGCTGATGAAGCTGATGAAGCTGATGAAGCTGATGAAGCTGATGAAGCTGATGAAGCTGATGAAGCTGATGAAGCTGATGAAGCTGATGAAGCTGATGAAGCTGATGAAGCTGATGAAGCTGATGAAGCTGATGAAGTTGATGAAGCTGATGAAGTTGATGAAGCAAAAGCATCATCTTTTGCTGAAAGTTTGATGAATTTCTTTATGTGCACAAAAATGTATTTAAAGAAGATGATTCTGGTTAACCAAATGAAAAACACCCATAAATTTCTCAACAACAACACAAATCACAGTTTTTTAAATAGGAAAATAAGAAAGATAAATGAAAGAAGGAAAAAGGAAAGAATTAAGAGATTGAGATCTGTTGATTTTCGAGATTTCGAGATTTTTGTATCCGTTGATTTCGCTGGGAATGCTCTTCGAGACGGGCTTTTCGCTTTTGCTCTAATTCGAGTTGCTTTTGCTGAAAGTTTGATGATTTTGATGAAATTTTTGTGAATCCTGGATATCATCGTTGAGTTTTATCTACGATTTGTGGAGTTTGCTTAAATTTAAAATTTTTTGTTTTCATAGGTATTGTAAAATCGATTCTTTTAAGGCCAAAATGTTAAGACTAGATCTTTTACAATATTCTATATTCAAATTCAAGTCTCGTACATTCATTTCATGTAGTTCTTGGTCAAATTCATTGTTAAAGAGTCACCTGTGCTAGCATCGAGTCATCCGCCTCAGCCTCACCCCAAGCATCTTGTTGCTCAAGTGGTTGATCGTCCATCATTTGCAAGCCGCTCTAGAAAATGTCTTTTGCAAATCCTGGAAGTCATTCTACAATAGAAAAAAGTTTATATGACTTTTGGTGTTTTTTTGAAATAAACTGTATAGCACACTCTGACTTCTAGAGAAAGAGAGAAGGTTTTTGCTTCTTCAGTCCATTGAAATACCCCAAGAATCCCTCCTCCCAAAAAGTAAGACAAATATAATGCTTAACTTTCTCTCCCAATTGTGTCAATTGTCTGTTTTTCCAAAATCGCATTCAATTGAGCACTTTCCCTTGTCAAAATTGGAAACATCAAAGCAATGATTGAGGGGAAATAGAGAAAATGAGTGAAAAGGGGTAAAAAAAAGGGGCAAAAAAAGAGAAGAGAAAAGATTTGCCTGAGGCTGGGTGGGAGGGGAGGGGATGCAACGCTTGAATGGAGGTGCTGAGCTGAACAAGCGATCGGATCTCCGCCGATTTGATCTATCCATGACTCGCCATGCCATCCAGCTTCCCCATTTTCACTTGCCACTTTTGCCAATCTATGTTTATTTTAGATCATTTATTTCCGTTCCTTTTAAGATTGTTTAAAGACTTTAAAAAAGAAAGAAAGATAGTTTAAAAGACTTTAAAAAGATTGTTTAAAGACTTTTTTTGAAAGTTTAAAAGTTTAGAAATGTCAGGAAGCCTTTTTCTCTTAATATTAGCTCCGACGTTAGCTTTGGCAGCGATTCAATGTTATGTTGGACAAAAGTTGTTCGCTTTGGAAAGTAATATGGTAATTGATTGTTAAATAAGTTAAAGTTAAAGAATAAATTCTAGGCAGTTTGTGCTCCATTCGTTCCATATCATTGTGCAATTGCGTGTGAATGGAAACACAATTGCTCATCAACGGTTGGATATGAGGCATTCTCTGGAAGAAGGACTTTCGTTTCTGGCCTCTTAATCAACTCTAAATCGTTAATGGCACTTTGTTGTACATCGTTTGCGACAAAAATTGAATCTGGTTAGTTAAATTGTTAAAAAGAATCTTTTTAAACATTATAGAACCCCTTTTCCCATTACCAATCTAACTTTAAACTCGAATTTCTTAGTGTAAAGCTTTCTAATTTAAATATTTCTTCTACCAATCGATAGAAAAAGACTTTACAAAGCTAATGATATTAAAAATATTTAAATTAAACAGCTCAACACCAAGAAAATATTTGTTATCTAAAAGAACTGTGTCTTTCTGTTTGTGAGCACTATTCCTCCACCCCCAGTGAGCCGTTTCAAATGGCTTATAATTAGTTTGAATTAAAATTTCATGTAGTTGTGCAACATGTTTTTAAATTTCTAAAAAACCAAAAGTGCTGACGCGAGTGGGAGTCGAACTCGCGTCGTGTGAGCGAGAGAGAAAAGCGCTCGCACTACGCCATTGGATGGCCGAGGGGTTAACTGCGTCTCAAGCATGGCCGAGTGGCCAAGTAATCAACGGCTCTCAGGCATGGCCAAGGGGTTAACTGCGTCTCAAGCATGGCCGAGTGCCCAAGTGATCAACGGCTCTCAGGCATGGCCGAGGGGTTAACTGCGTCTCAAGCATGGCCAATTGGCCAAGTGATCAACGGCTCTCAGGCATGGCCGAATGATTAACGCATGTGTCTTTCAAACGAACAAGAAAGACTCCTGTTGCCAATTCTTTTCCTCTTGATCTCTTAACATTTGTAATATTCTAGATAATCGTGGTGAGCGTTGTGCGTGGAGAGATTGGGACTCAATCCCCGTTTTGGGTCCATCGATTCGAGCCGAACCTGTACTTGGAGTTAATCATTACATTCGTGATATTGAAATGGAAAGAGATGGTGATTCAAGAGTCGATGCAAGAATTGAAGTCTGTCAATATCAGAAAGAGATGGATAGTTGTCAAGCCGAGGTGAGAAATGGAAGAATTTACTTGAATCTTAAATCTTTTTTCATTCTAGAAACTCGAAGAAGCTGAGCAACACCGATTGAATCTATTAAAGCTGCGTTTGGAGCGTTTCCAAAGCAAGTACGATCTACAGAAAGAGAATCAGGCGCCGAAAATCGAGGAACCGGTTGTATCTCATTGATCTTTATTCAAATGCAATTGTTTTTAAATAAAAAATTTGATATATTGGCTTTCAAAATTTGAAAATTATTAAAACAATTTTCTTTTCTTTTTAACTCTTTAGGAATGTTTAGTGACATCCATAGTTTTGTTTGTTTAAGCTTTAAAATCAAGCAACGATTAGGATCAAGGTTGAAAGAAGGAGAGAAGGAATCCTCGGTTTTCAGGGATGTTTTAAATCTTTAGGAATGTTTTGTGACATCCATAGTTTTGTTTGTTTAAGCTTTAAAATCAAGCAACGATTAGGATCAAGGTTGAAAGAAGGAGAGAAGGAATCCCCGGTTTTCAGGGAAGTTTTTTTCGCGCGCCTTGGTGACGCCTAGGGGGGAAAGATGGAAGAAAAGATAAAATCGTGAATGTCTTTTGGGAAAGGTTTAGAATTTATTGCCAGTGGATGGGGGGAAAAGCCGATTCCCAGGATTTCGGTACAGTTTTTAAAATGGAAATGAAAGGAAAAAAAAAGAAAAAGAAAGAAAAAGATGGGTGTCTAGGTGATGATTTAGTCGGCAAAATTGCTTATTTTCTATTTGCACAAGGAGAAATTTCTAAAAATCCAGAAAATTAATCAATTTACACAAAAATTCGTTAAAAATTGATGTTTTTAACTAAAATGTTATTACAAAAGGTTAAATTTAACATTTTTTTTTTAAGTAACATGACTTAAATGACTAATTTTTGTTATTAAAAATGTTCTAAACTATATTTAGAATAAATTTAATGATTAATTCTTATTAATTGATTAATAATCTTTTACTCAATCCAACTATTTACAAACCGTTGTCAGAGCTGTGATCCCGTCATTATTAAAATCGAAAAGATTTCTCGATTGGTGTACACCGGATCGTTTTGTTTTCAGAAGAACCTGGAAACATAGAAAGCTTTAAAATCCCCACACTTCTTCAACCTTTTTCGCTTTTTTAATATCTGGAGCCATGTCATCAAAGAAATTTGGCTCATCCGATGCTTCAACGGATTTTGTTCGCTGTTTTTCCTGGAATCATTGTTAAGCCTTTGCTTATTAAGCCTTTGATTATTAAGCCTTTGATTATTAAGCCTTTGATTATTAAGCCTTTGATTATTAAGCCTTTGATTATTAAGCCTTTGATTATTAAGCCTTTGATTATTAAGTCTTTGATTATTAAGCCTTCGATTATTAAGCCTTTGATTATTAAGCCTTTGATTATTAAGCCTTCAATTGTTAATCCAAATTCTTCAATTTTTCACTAACTTGTTCCAATCGATACTGTTCAATCTTTCCATCAACTTCAGCTTTTTGTTCCCAACTTGAATCCCATGAGTCAACAGGTTTTTGGCTGTATTGTAGTGAATCTTCGGATGGAGACCGTTGAACAGCGACTAAATTCATCGATTTTTCAGGAAATCTTATCGATTTCCTAAACACAAATCAATTTTCTTTCTAAAATAAGATTTTTGTATACAAAGATGAAAGATTTGTGATAGAAAAGAAAGAAAAATGACTACAGAATCTTGTTCAATTCCCCAACAACTCTAGCCTTGTTTAGAGCTTGTTTAGAGCCTGTTCTAAAAGCTAAAAACCTACATTTAAAACTAGAATCTGACAAATTTCTTCAATTTTTCATTTTTCCCAACCTGTAAACGGCAATTCTCCAATATTATTGTCTCTTTTCCTCAAAAAGCACAATGCTCGCTTGAAAATGCCGAGAAATGATTGAAGAAAACGGAATATTCGCCCACAAAGAAGGCCAACCATCGACATATCTGCATTTTAAATTTAAATCAATTCAATTTTTTTTATTTCTATTTAAATATTTAAAAGAAAACTCTTTTCACGATTAATATTTGTTAAATAAAAGAATTTATTTCTTCAATAAAACTTTCATTCACAAAGTTGGCAAGAAAAGTTGAGGCACTGGCAAGCATTTTTCGACTAGAATCACCGGATTGATAGGGAAATTATGCAAAAGAATGCAAAAGAATGCAAAAGAAGGGAGTGGGACAAATGCTACCTTTTTTTTCCGCACCCTGCCCATTAGCGCACCTTTTTTTCGCGTTTTAAAGCTAATATTAAGCTCTAAAGGCTCTAAAAAGCTAATATTAAGCTCTAAAAGCTCTAAAAAGCTAATATTAACCAATTTCTATTCCAAATGTTCTTTTTCTAGGTAATTTTAGGGCGTAGAATCGAAATTTTGACATAACAGAGCGTGTGGAACCAATTCTGAAACACAAAACAGACAAGACAAATCTAATTACAGAAAATTGTCGATTTTTCTCTTTGTATAACTCGGTCCGTTTGTTTCCAAAAAGCTCTGATATGTCAAAATTTCGATTCTACGCCCTAAAATTACCTAGAAAAAGAACATTTGGAATAGAAATTGGTTAATATTAGCTTTTTAGAGCTTTTAGAGCTTAATGTTAGCTTTAAAACGCGAAAAAAAGGTGCGCTAATGGGCAGGGTGCGGAAAAAAAAGGTGCGCAAATGTCCGGGTGCGCAAAAAAAAGGTCGCATTTGTCCCACTCCCCAAAAGAATGCAAAAGAATGCAAAAGAAACAAAGATTATGCATAAAAATGAATAAAAATGACATCGATATGTACATAATTTCGACAAAAATGATAAGCAAAGGGCTATTTTAATGAAAATAACGATAAAGAAAAAGCTGAATAGGGGTATTTTGTATGTACAGTCATCCCCGGCGTTATAAATAACTCGAAAATTTTTCCCGGTCAGTGCTAATGTAATATAGAACAAATTAAAAGATTTTAAAGATAAAGATAAAGATAAAAGATAAAGAAAGAATGATGTAAAAATTTCCCTGTTTATAATTGCTTTTAAACTCAAAAGATATTCAGCTAATTGCTAAAATAGGTTCTTTTAAAAGAAATTCATAATTATTCTTTCATTTCATAATCGTTAATCAAAAAATCATTTTTCTTTTGTGCTCATATATCTTGTTTGCCTTTTCTAAAACTTTTTCTTTACTATTTCTTTTAGGGTAATGGACAAGATCCGAACGAGAACTGGGATTCCGTATGAGACGAAAAAACGAGTGATTGAGAGCAAGCGAGAAGAAGCCACATTTGAGAAGCTTACGGAAGTTTCTCTGACGATTTCATCGCTGAATGCGATCTGGAGAAGTCGACAAGCAATCGAGGCTCAACTTGATGATGGCGTTAGGAGGAAATCAAAACGAGCAAACGCAAAACAAAACGAATTGGACGAAGCCCTCCTTTTTTTGAAGTCAGTTTTTGAAGATTACTTAATCAATTGAGACCGCCGATTGTAAGCTGAAAAACACAAGATTCTCGTATACGTTGACAATTGTGCGTTTCATGTAGATTTACAAGAGAAGCTAACCAAGTATGAGACGAAAAAACGAGTGATTGAGAGCAAACGAGAAGAAGCCACATTTAAGAAGCTTCGAGCGGAAGTTTCTCTTACGATTTCATCGCTGAATACTAATATACTAATATACTAATATACTAATATTTCTTTAGGGTAATCGACAAGGAATTTGACCATCATTTTCAAAATCATTTTCCTTTTGTGCTCATATATCTTGTTTGCCTTTTCTAAAAGTTTTTCTTTACTAATATCTTTTAGAGTAATGAACAAGGTCTTATAAAGTAATGTGATGATTCCCAGCAAACCAAAAACCCTCTATAAAGTCGCCGCCATTATAAGTAACATTTTTCCCGATTCGTTGAATTACTTATAACAGGGAAATGACTGTACTTTAGGTCTGGGAACAAGAAATCTTTTTGCCTTTTGGCAAACAAGCCTTTTTGCAAATAAATGAATCCAATTTAAACTTGTGTCCCATTTTGTCGCTTGATGAGATTGTTGAGACAGAGGAAACGAAAAGCATCGGAAAATCCCTCTTCATAATATCGCTGAACGACGTCGGGGCGTGGTGGAAATAAAGCATCCATTGCACGAACACCATTGATACGATTTAGCTGTAATGAAGAATTTGATTGAAAACCTATCAAATAGCTTTCGATCTAGCTTTAGATCTTAAAACTTTAGGGGTAATTTTGGTATTCAATTCTCGAAATTTCCCATCTGCATCAATCCTGTTATACTGCTGCAATTTTTGTATTTTAAAAGCTTTAAACAAGCTTTAAACAAAGCTTTAAGATATGCTAACTTTGCGGGGAATAACAGGATTGTATAACATTTAGATCTTAAACTTTTCTCTAGAAGATCATCAATAACCATTAAATCTCACTCTCCCATTCTTGTAAATAAAGCTTTCTTTGCTTGTCTTTGCTTGTCTTTCGATTAAATCATGTTTTACAAACTTTAATCGACTGTTGCCCGAGTGTGATCATCCAATCAGCTGCCGTGTTGACGAGGGGAGAGATTTCGGCATCATGTGAGGCGAATGGAGAGATGGCCACCGTTCTCATCCCGTCAACTCGTGGCAGATTGTTGCTAAGGCCACCATCGACGAATTCCTAGAGATTTTATTTATTATAAAGACGCAAAATTGGTTTGTTTCTCTGTTCACTACATAACTCTAGTCCCAATAGAGATTTCGTTTTGATTTTTAATAATATGTAATCGAATACAATGATTTTACCTATTAAATCAGAATTTTAAAATTTATTTTTAAAAGCTAGCTATTTTTAAGTAAATTTAAAATAACTAAAACGACAGTTAAAGGGATTTTCGAATAAACGAGAAAGTTTGTTTCTTAGTTTTAGTTTTTAACTGTTTAGTTAGTTATTGAAAGTTAGTTAGTTTAGTTTGTTAGATTAGTTAGTTTAGTTAGTTATATTAGTTATCCTGTTTAGTTATTGAAATTGTAAACTGTAATAAATTTGGTAAAAATGGAGAGAAAACTATCTTTTGTAAAATATAAATCCACTCAAATCAACATTTAACCCAGAAAGTTAATTAGAAACAAGTTGGCCAGAGTAATTAAGTTAGAGACATTGCTAGAGGCTAGAGACAGCTATTAGAAACTTAATTAGAA